CGGGTGTCGGGTTGGGTGACAGCTGGGGGACAGGGTGACATTGTCGGGGGTCGAGCTGGGTGACAGCTGGGGGACACGGTGACATCATCACCCACGGGACAGGGTGACATCGTCGGGTGTAGAGTTGGGTGACACCCGGGGCCCTGGGGTGGTGACACCCGCAGGACAGAGTGACATCATCACCCACGGGACAGGGTGACATTGTCAGGTGTCGAGTTGGGTGACACCCGTGGGACACGGTGGCATCGTCGGGTGTGGAGTTGGGTGACAGCTGCGGGACACGGTGACATCATCACCCACGGGACAGGGTGACATTGTCGGGTGTGGAGCTGGGTGACAGCTGTGGGACAGGGTGCTGTGCTGGGTGACACCCAGGGGCACAATGACTGCTGTGTCCTCCACCGGGTGACACCCATGGGACACGGTGCCATTGTCGGGGACTCCATTGGGTGACACCCAGGGGCGCAGTGTCACCGTGCCCTCCATTGGGTGACACCCACGGGCTCAGTGTCACCATGCCCTCCACCGGGTGACACCCACGGGCGCAGTGTCACCGTGCCCTCCATTGGGTGACACCCACGGGCGCAGTGACCGCTGTCCCCTCCATTGGGTGACACCCACGGGCTCAGTGTCACCATGCCCTCCACCGGGTGACACCCACGGGCGCAATGTCACCGTGCCCTTCACTGGGTGACATCCATGGGCACGGTGCCATCGCTGGGTGCTGTGTTGGGTGACACCCACGGGCACAATGACCACCGTGCCCTCCCCCGGGTGACACCCACGGGCTCAGTGTCACCGTGCCCTCCACGGGTGACACCCATGGGCTCAGTGTCACTGTGCCCTCCACCGAGTGACACCCAGGGGCGCAATGTCACCGTGCCCTCCACCGGGTGACACCCATGGGCTCAGTGTCACCGTGCCCTCCACCGGGTGACACCCACGGTCGCAATGTCACCCTGCCCTCCACCGGGTGACACCCAGGGGCTCAGTGTCACCGTGCCCTCCACCGGGTGACACCCACGGGCTCAGTGTCACCGTGCCCTCCACCGGGTGACACCCACGGGCTCAGTGTCACCCTGCCCTCCACCGGGTGACACCCACGGTCGCAGTGTCACCGTGCCCTCCACCGGGTGACACCCACGGGCACAATGTCACCGTGCCCTCCACCGGGTGACACCCACGGTCGCAGTGTCACCCTCCCGTCCCGCAGGTGCTGCTCAGCGAGCTGCACCGCCGGGTTCTCATCGAGTACGTGCGGCCGCTGCTCCAGGGCCGCCTGGTCTGCGCTTCGGCCAAATCCCGAGCCCGAGTGGCCGCCCGCTTGGGCGACGAGGCCCGGCAGCTCCGCGAGCTCTTCACGCGCCTGGTGAGACCCCCGAGACCCCTTTCTTGAGGTGACACCCTCGGTGACACCCT